TTTATTATTCCACTTGATCTAAATATCAATCTAAATATAATTGGGGGACATATAATACAATTGTGAGGGAACACGAAATAAAACACTCGAATTATAGATGCAAATAATTAGCATAACGAAGACTTCAAGATGAATGGTTTAATAAATAATCAATTAATCTTAATCAATGAATTAAAATACTTCTATAATTTAATATTCCGCGCACAAATATTTTATATTACAGAAAATATTTCAGCAACGAGAGACTTATCAATAACACTGTTTTTGACCTTGATAAACAGAATCGCGCTATTGTTAATATGTGACACGGCTTTATTATCATTCGCACAGAAACCTTGAGTAGTGACGAAAGAATGTTTCACATATTATCAAATTCCTTCTTCACATAACTTTGACGATATAAACAGTACCATGATAATGTTTCTGACGTACGATCATTCGGTCAATGGCTCTCGAGCAGTGAGGTAGTGACGTGAGACCTTCCATATATTATCAAATTCTTTCTTTAACTACAATTGCAAGTATAACGAGGAACTTTTCGTGAATGAGTGTAAGTGCAACGTGGAATTCAAATGACTGCAACCAGAATTGGAGTGCCATGAGAACAAAGTAAAACAAAAGAAAAAAAGAAGGTCTTGGAAATGGACGGATCAATAAGATGTAAAAAATTAATATTTTTATAAGTTATAAAATTTATATAGTATAATACAAAATTAATTATATATTATATTATATATAAAATTATATATAATATAATATAACCCTCCATGGGGTACACCTTGTCGCGGTGGGAGGGCTTAGTACTTGGATGGTGCCTTGAGGTTTATTTTAAATTTTTCATTTATGATAAATCTTAAGGTGCCTGAATAGGAAGCTAAATACCCTTTCGCGTCGTCGGTGCCATCAACGTGCCGCGGATGGCAAACGCTTTGTCAACGCGTTAGGTATATACATATTAGGAAGTGCCGTTAAAGGTATATATATATTAAGTATATACATCGCGCGATCAAATATAAAATTTTTAATCGCATCGAAACAGTGCGGGAGTGCCGTTCAGTATCGTGCGTAAAATAACGACAATAGCGATATAAAAATATCGCTCGCGAGTGCGGGAGTGTCGTTAAAAGTATCGCGCGCCAACAACATGAGAGGAGGAGGCCTCGGAGAGGCATCTTGCATCGGCGGAGCAATCTGATGGTGAATATTTATTATTTGTATATCAATTGTTATAAATTGTACGCATAATAATTCGATCTTATTATTTTAATGAATTAAAGAGAAAATTAGAGAAAAAGATTTTTATAAAAGTCATATAAAACTTTCTATTTAAAAAACAGTTTCAAAAATTTATAAAATATTTCCACACGTTTATCTCTGCTTATTATTTTGCACATTGGATGTAAAATTCCGAACGATAAAAATTTTTTGAAATATTGATTGTATTTTGTGAACATTGTTATAAATAAATTTTATATTTGTATGTTACAGACAACTAGCTTCGATAACAACAACTCCGCTTTTGCGCATCAGTGCTAGTGAGTGAGAAAAACTTTTATTTAACTTTAAGGTAACGAATTCGTAGAGATTGTAGACGTAGATGTACATTGTAGATTGTAGTAATTCGTTGCCTTAAAATGGATGAGCTAGGATTATTTAAATTAAATAACTTTTAATAAATTCTTTCGAAATGCTTTGCATCTATTGTGAAAATATATTGAAGTATTATAATTAAAAAAAGAGAATCAAGAAAAGAAAATATTTTGTAAAAATCTTGTCTAATTTATTAAATAAAGAGTACGCATTAATAATTTTATCAATTTTATCAATTTTTTATGCTACTTTATTTTTATAACTCACACTTATTTTATTCTAATTTCTTGTAGCTCATCCATCGTAGAATTTGTTTATAGATATTGTTTTTAACTTTACTTTAACTTAATATAAAGCCAAATGATTAATTAATTAAATAATTTGTAATATGATAAAGGTTATACACACACACACACATGAGTTTTATATTTTATTAGAAAATATCATATACAGAAATTTGTAGTAATTTGGCTTTAAGTTAAAATAAAATTATATTTAAATATTTAACGAACGATCAAAATCGAGCGATCGTTACGATGAGCGTGAAATATTTACGCTCATTTGCCGTTAATTAATCGGCAAAAGAAGAAGTGTGTGCGTATCTCCTTTTTCGATCTCTGATTAAATCGAGTAAGAAAGTGACCAGGATCAACGAAAAGTAAGTTCAACTGACCTGAAGAAACGCTTTACGTACAATAGTACGTAATGTCGGACATTTATTCACGCGATTAAAGCATGCGGTTAGAGAATGTAATTAGGACATATAATTTAAAATATATGTGATTAGAGATTAAAATATACGTGATTAGAAATAGGCTTTCCTCGAATAATTTTATTTAATCGAGAAATAGAATTATTACGACTATTAGGTGTTGATGAAGATTTTTTAATTTTCCTTTCAAGAAGTAGAGGATTGTTAGGGCTATTATGTGATTAATTTAGGTGATTAATATATTATGCATCTTTTAAAGAATCAGGAAATATAGGTTTAAATAATATTAGGGATAGATTAAAAAATATTTCAATAATTATATTATTAATATTAACAAGAGGTTTTTAAGGGGATGTTTAAGGGGTCAATATTTTTTGAGTGTTTTTTTATAGGTATTTTATTTATATAAGGATGAAAATTAAATTGCTAACACTCAATAATTTTTATAGTAATACAAATTTTTTGCGAAATTTTATATATGCGAGAGCTGAATTCTACCCCGGCGGGACCGTTAAAATAGATAAGGAGCATTTTCCCACGTAAAAAAAGGATTGTTAAGGCTGTTAGGTGATCATTAAAATTTTTTTAATATTCCTTTAATGCTAAAGAAAATATATTAAAATTCCAATAATCTTAGGGATTAATCATCGCTAATCTTGTCTGGACTATGTAAAAATTTTTAGTAAATTTTATATTATAAAATATCTATACCTGAGAACAAATGTCCATAGAAAGTATTCCGATGGACTCCATAGGAAGGAATAAGCATGACAAGTGATGGTAATTTTTATGATGTTAACACGAAGGAATACAATAAACCATAATAATCCAAGAACTCGAAGAAGAGAATATATTGGATAGAAATGCATAGTGATTGAAAATGATTAGAAAGTAAAATACAATATGCATACAACCTATTTATTAATAGTAATACTATTTTGTAATTATGTTAAATTTTATAATTTAGTACATTGTATTATATAAAGTATTAAGCACAAAAGTATTATGCTGGTATGAAAATTATAATAAAAATATAAATAGTGTTAGCATATGAATTCTTTATATTTTATATAAAGGAAGAGACTTAAAATATTTTGCAACATCTATATTTTTCGAGTCTTAAAAAAACTTCAGAGGAATCAGTGATTAATTTGACAAATTCTATACATATATTAATAATTAGATTGTTAAATAATTAAAAAAATGATTGATAGATATCAAAGATCAGTTTACTGATATTTAACAAGATTTATAGAAATACGATTAAAAATGTTTTTATCCCACAGCAGGCATTTTGTGTTTTGTAAATAAAAAGATATAAATATGACAATGAATATAGAAAAATATTTATTTCATCTTTGAATATTACAGTATCTTTCGCGATTGAATAATTTATTTACTATCAATTTACATACATAAAAATATCTTGTTATACAGCACTAATGCTATCGACATTTCGTGCTCATAGCACGGAACAAAACCAGAAATTGTGCACATTATATATTACCCTCTGAGAACATTTATGGATTTTGGCTTTGTAGTTCATGTCCACGTTTTCAATGTCCATAGAGGGAGTATCGCTTTCAGAGATCACCTAAAAGCAGGCCATGACATCTCTCAGTCTTCCCTCTGTCTCAAGTTTCTTTCTGATTTTGATTGGTCAATTACAACTCATAGGCCGGTATTCATAGGCCGGTATTCATAGTCCGATCTTATATTTGAGATCGTCTTAAGTTCGAGCTTGAAATGCTACGCAGCTATTTGATTGGTTGAATGAGGTCTTAAGTCAACCTCCAAGCAGACTTAAGACGATCTTAAATATAAGATCGGACTATGAATACCGGCCATAGTCCGATCTTATATTTAAGATCGTCTTAAGTCTGGTCCGAGGTTGACTTAAGACCTCCTTCAACCAATCAAATAGCTGCGTAGCATTTCAAGCTCGAACTTAAGACGATCTCAAATATAAGATCGGACTATGAATACCGGCCAATAGTCCGATCTAGAGAACCTCTAGGAGAGAGAATGGACAACTGATCATGTGACATGTGATCAAGCTTTTTCATGATTGGCTGGCAGAAAATGTATCAATTTTAGCTATTGCGACGCCAATGCAAAATATGATGACACACAAATAGGTTAATATATGTGTGTCATGTGTGTCCTATTTGTGTCATCATATTTTGCATTGGCGTCGCAATAGCTAAAATTGATACATTTTCTGCCAGCCAATCATGAAAAAGCTTGATCAGTTGTCCATTCTCTCTCCTAGAGGTTCTCTAGTCCGATCTTATATTTAAGATCGTCTTAAGTCTGCTTGGAGGTTGACTTAAGACCTCATTCAACCAATCAAATAGCTGCGTAGCATTTCAAGCTCGAACTTAAGACGATCTCAAATATAAGATCAGACTATGGCCGGTATTCATAGTCCGATCTTATATTTAAGATCGTCTTAAGTCTGCTTGGAGGTTGACTTAAGACCTCATTCAACCAATCAAATAGCTGCATAGCATTTCAAGCTCGAACTTAAGACGATCTCAAATATAAGATCGGACTATGAATACCGGCCTATGAATACCGGCCATAGTCTGTTCTTTTCAGCTGTACTGCTGCACTAATGCAATAAGTTAGAAAGAGACAAACATACATTCTTTCACTCTAACTAATTGCACTAGTGCAGCAGTGCAGCTGAAAAGAACAGACCCATAATGTGATTACGGTTTTAATCAAAATGTTTATTTTTACAAAATCACTATTGTCTGTCCTTATCGGCACATTTACGACGGTATTTTTTTTCTATATTCATTTTGCATATGTGTTGGATATATCTTTGCAATGGTTTTACAATAATGTTCAAGATATGCAAAAATATGATTATATTGTTGGTAGGTTATACAGTCTAGAATAAAAATTGAAATAGAGAAATAATAAAATATATAAATGCAAAAGCATTTTATCTAATAAGAACTTATAATTATTTATATAAGATATATCAAAACAATCATATCGATGAATATATTTTTAATTTAAAAATAATTCAATAATTTGTAAAATAATCAATTTTATTTCTTTATATTTATTTTTATTCGTATATCTAAAATCTGTATTTTCAAAACTAATTTGACTATTTTACTTATCTATTTATACTATTTTAAAAATGTAGTTTATATTGTTTATTTGTATATTTAATCAGAATGATTATAGTTGGTGCTGGTAGCGCTGGTACAATTCTAGCGACACAGCTAGCGGAGGATAAGCAAAAAATATTATTGCTAGAAGCAGGTGGTACAGCACCTTTTTTTCTTGATATACCACTCTTGGCCCCAATGATTCAAAAAACTGCCTATGATTGGCAATATATTACTGTACCTCAAAAACATGCATGTAAAGGTTTAATTAACAATGTAAATATATATGTTGAAATATGTATTGAAAAATGATGCACATATATTGTCACAAAGATTTTTACAGCAAAGCAGATGGCCTAGAGGTAAAATTGTTGGAGGAACAAGTCGCTTAAATTATATGGCTTATGTATTGGGACATCGATTGGATTATGAAATATGGTTTCCAGATTTTATGGGTACAAAGAAACTTTCATATTAATTTATATAGCATGTGTATGTGTGTGTACATATATATATACACATTCATATATATATTTATAGATCAGATATAGAGATATATTTAAATTATGCTTAAATTTATTTACACTTTATAAATTTTATGTATAATTATTTTTAGAGTCAATTGCAAAGATTAATAAATTAGTGAGCATTAATGAATTAAGATGGAGCTCTGATTTTGCTGATATATTTTTGGAAGCAATAAAAGAATTATATCACGATATAGGCGACATGAATTTGCGATTAGATACAGGTATCTATTTCTTATATAAAGTATCTCAGTTGCATGTTATATTTCTATTTACAATAATGTTTATTATTTAGGTTTTATGAAAGCTCAGTTGATGATGGAAAATGGTAGAAGATGGAGTTCAGACAAAGTTTTACGTCAGAAATCTAGTTATCCCAACTTGACCATACTTACTCATGCACGTGCCAACAAAGTAAATTCGAAGAACATTTTTCACATTGCTTTTTCATATACATATCAAAGCATAATTAATTAATTATTAAAGATACTAGTGAATTTGGATAAAGCTGAAGGAATTGAATTTCTTAGATTTGGTAATAAATATACAGCAATAGCAAAAAAAGGAATTATTCTAAGTGCTGGTGTAATTGAGAGTCCGAAGTTATTAATGTTATCTGGAATTGGACCAAAGAAACACTTAGAGGATTTGAATGTAAGTAATTTTTATTAACTAATTTAAAACATATATATTTGTTTTACAATTTATAATTTATTGTAAGTCTTATTTTGTCATAATAAAAATTTTAAAATAACACATATACAAGCATATATTGCATAACTTATATTAATAATATAATAAAATTTTCTCATTTCTCAAAAAGATCAGTATACACTTATTATAGAGATATATTATAAGATAATAAATCTTATATGAAATAATTAAAATGAAATAATTATTTAATTACTATTTTAATTACTATTTTTCATTACATTTTTTATTGTTTTCTGTAATAACTATCGTTATTTAGGATCAATTGAAAAATTGTAGTCGAACGCATCAGCTTCTTTCAAATTTGAATTTAGTTAAATAACGTTTTTTGTATTACGTTGTTTTATATGTTCACCATTAATGTTTGCCTTCTGATTATTATTACATCGTGTATACTTGATAAGGACCACAACCACATGGTCGAAACGTCGTATTAATAAACTTAATTTTTTGGCTAGTTTTGGTCGACTACAATTTTTCAATTGATCCTTTGATTACTCGACTAGCGATATTAAACTATTTACAATTATCATTATTTAGATTAGTGTGATTAATGATTTGCCAGTTGGTCAGACTTTAATGGATCATATATTAACTGGTCTCGATTTGATCATGCTTAATACAAGTCTTGGACTGAATTTTTCTGACATTTCTAATCCTATGTCGGCTCTTAATTATTTCCTTTTTGGAAGAGGTAAGAATATGCTAATACAAATATATCAAAACTATATATATATATATATACAGGGTGTCCCACCTAGAAGTGGCCACCCCCTTCTATCTTTTAAACTAAAAGAGATAGACCATAACAAATATATATGAAATTAAATGGCTTTAACTGAACTTTATTGTGAGTATCATGATTAAATGACAACATGACATATGTCAACCTCTAATGCAAGAGTCAGAAGTTGGCTATATCGCAGGGCCGAAAATGAAATGGTGGACGTCGCCCGCGATATTTCAAGTCGGAAAATCTCGTATAATATGTAAAATATTTACATTAAATCATACATCGTTATATTGGTTTCAAACAGCGCTACAACTTTTATTATATCAAAATATCTACATTATTATAAAAAAATTATATACCTCTCCGTTCTTTAATACAGATAAATTTTGTAATCAACCACTATACTCACAATAAAGTTCAGTTAAAGCCATTTAATTTCATATATATTTGTTATGGTCTATCTCTTTTAGTTTAAAAGATAAAAGGGGGTGGCCACTTCTAGGTGGGACACACCCTGTGTATATATATATATATATATATATATATATATATATATATATATATATATGCGCATAGTAATGTTTCTTTCATAAGTTAACTTGTTTTTATTTCTCATTAGATAGCTAAGTGATTAATAGCTATAGTAATTGATGAATAAAAAAATAATATGACTATAAGTAATTTTCATAAATACATATGTATTGCAGTTGTTACATTTTGACACATTGTAAAGATAATTTATCTATTTATTTAGGACCATGGACATCAGCAGGAGTTGAAGTATTAGGAACTTTTCATAGTGCATTACATACAAATAAATCCACAATACCAGATTTGCAATTAATGGTATTACCTCTTGGAGCAGCAAAAGACTATGGCTTCATTCTCAAAAGAGCAATGGGAATTTCGGATGAAGTATATAAAATAAAAAAATACAAATAATAAAGAATAGAAAATAGAGGGAACTGAAAGGAAAAGAAAATATTCAAATATTTCTTATGAGATCTTATTTCTCTATATATTTCTTTTTCCAGGTTTATAATAAATATTTTGATTCTCTTTCAAACGAAAATACAATTACAATCGCTCCTGTTTTACTACATCCTAAAAGTAGTGGAGAATTACTATTGCAGAGCAGCAATCCCTTTGATGAACCACTAATTGATCCGAAATATTTATCGAATAAGGAAGATATTGATACTCTTATAGAAGGTAATTAAATGCATACATAGTATATTAAAAAATAAAAATGCATATATATATATATATATAATATATATATATATATATATATATATATACAGGGTGTCAGGAAATTTTTGACCTTTACGAAGTAAGGAGATATAGAATGGCTCAAATTAAGAAGGAAAGACCTCTATTGTTTTGTGATTGTCGCAATAATTAACGAAAAATTAAATAAAGAAGATCGGCTAATGCGTGTGGCTAGAAGCACACGACGACGAAGGCGGTCTGACTGTAACATAATGGCGGGGCGGGGCGAAGCGGTGATTGAGGAGGGAAAGAGCGATGAGTGTGTAAGCGCGTGGCGAAGGCTCCTCCCCTCCCCAATCACCGCTTTGCCGCGCGTTTGAGCCAATCTACCTCCTTACTTCGTTAAGGTCAAAAATTCCCTGCCACCCTGTATAAAGAGTGTCCCAAAAGTCCCGGACCGGTCGAATATTTCATAAACCATGCACTTTAGAAAGAAATGTTTCAGACAAAAGTTGTATGACTTGAAGGGGGCCATCAGATAGTGGCAATGATTTGACATGGGAGAGTCATTTGAAAGTCACGTGAAGATCACCGTCAATTTCTTAAATGGAACCCCCTATTTTTTATTACATATTCGTATAGCTTATCTCGAAAGCTTTCCAAAGCACTATAATAAAGTATTTCTTCATTGAGTACTTTTCGAGTTATGAGGCTTGAAATCATTTCTTAATTTTGCATAAATCATAAAATATCTAGTAAAATATTCATTTTTCGATTATCTTACCTTAATAGTAATTAATTAGTATTATAGTATTATAGTAATTAGTATTATAGTAATAAATAGTATTAATTTTATGTATAAAATAATGAGTGGAATCAATTGATGTAAAGAAAACACATAGTATTATAGTAATTAGTATTATAGTAATAAATAGTATTAATTTTATGTACAAAATAATGAGAGGAATCAATTGATGTAAAGAAAACACATAGTTGTTTTAAAAAAAATATGTATTTGCAACTAACAATTCCATATTTTTTCTGAGGTGATCTTCACGTGACTTTCAAATGACTTTCCCATGTCAAATCATTGCCACTATCTAATGGCACCCTTCAAGGCATACAACTTTTGTTTGAAACATTTCTTTCGAAAGTGCATAGTTTATGAAATATTCGACCGGTCCGGGACTTTTGGGACACTCTGTATGTATGTATGTATGTATGTTTATGCAAATATATAGATATTTTTTAATCAATATTATATATGCTTAGGATTGTATTTTATAAAGAAACTTTTGAAGACGAATGCTTTGAAAAGTTATGGTGCATCTCTCAACAAGAAATGTTTTCCTGGCTGTGAAAATCATACATTTGACACTAGAGAGTATTGGAAGTGTTATGTGCAACATTTAACATTGACATCCTATCATCCAGTTGGTACATGCCGTATGAATGATGTCGTTGATAAATCATTCAGGTATTATTTATTTGATGAAATTAAAATTAGAACAAATGGAAACAAAGGAATAAAACAATTAAAACGAAAGATTAACATAAATCAAATGTAAGATGGAGATGTAATAACAATGCATGCTTTGTTTAGTGCTGGAAGACTGATAAATCAATCAAAAAAGAAATAGTGATTTTTACATTACATTTATCAATCTAATGAGAGAAAAATGATTTTAAATTAGAATTCATAAATTATATATAACAGGATTAGAATCTTTAATAAAAATTCAAATCTGTTGCTTTTATTTATTAATTTTAAATTGACTAGAGCATATATTTTTATTATTGCATATATTTTATTACTTGCATCTTGCACTTGACTCATTTGTATATGTTAAGTGCTTCAAATCTTTTATTACGACAAAATTTTTATCATGTATATACAAATATTATATTTGTATTGTAGAGTTTATAATACGAAAAATTTGTATGTCGTGGACGCATCGGTTCTTCCGTCTCTCCCAAGTGGAAATATCAATGCAGCTGTGCTTATGTTAGCACAAAGAGCTGCTCAGATTATTAAAGGTAAAAAGATAAAAGAGAAAAAAAATATGCAGAAGCAGTACAAATCATACAACATTTGTTATATATTTAATGTTTGTGTCAATATGTGTGATGTAGATACAAAAATAAAGCCTATAAGTAACTAAAATAGCATATTGAGTGTATTTATATAATAACGCACATGAAAAGTTGATTGTCATCAATATGATACATGTTTATTGTTATAATAATAAACAAAAAACACAAGATTTCCTTTAACTTCTATTAATGATATAGTAATGGTATTCTTCTCCCTTATGATATATAAATTTTTCTCAATAGAATTTTAAGTATGGCAAAAACACATTTGTTTTAGCAATTTATATGGAATTTACTTGTATTACACACACACACACACACACATACATATATATATATATATGTATGTATATATCAGTATGTTATATATTATATATTAAAAAGTAGAATTGTAAATAGAATTATAAATATTTACAAAATTATAGTTATATACTGAAAATTATATACCACTTATAATAAAATTATAATATATTCATTTCAAAGCAAAATAGAAGAAAAATGAAATCTATGCTTATTTTCTATTAAATTTAGAAATTGAGAAATCAATTAGTAAATAACAGATAAAAAAATCCTTATTACTAATGAGCCCATCTTTTCCTATTGTCATTATATCGGGAATAGCCATTGGAACGATGGGTGTTCCAATTATCTCTATTATGGTGTGATCTCTCATCTCTATAATGATCATTTTGTTCTCTGCTTCTTGCTCTATCTTTTTCTCTCTCTCTTTCTCGATTTCTGTCTCTGTTTCTTTCCTGATTTCTATCTCTCTCTTGTTTTCTATCTCTATTCCTTTGATAAGGATGATTTCTTCTATTCCTATCATCATTGCCAGTATTGTTTCCAATTGTATTTGTATCCAATTGTCTTGGATATGTCGGAATATTTTGTGAAATATGTGCAACAAACATTCCACCGCCACTCTGCAGTGCAGGATAATTTCCTAAGATCATTTGTTGCCCTAATTCTAACATGTGATTTATGTTGCGAACAGGATTCAAAGATTGTTCCACTTGTAGTGACTCAGCATTATTCCTTAGTTGCATATTAAGGGTACGATTATATAGTTCTGTACCATCAAATAAACGTAAAGCATATTCCACAGAATGTATATGTTTATATGTGATAAATGCAAATGGTCTTTGTTTGCCATCACGATCTTTAGGAATGCTTATCTTTTGTATAGGACCTCCCTAATATAACAAAAATATTTGTATTAACTTCATCTATATAATTTATATTTAATAACATGCTATTTTTAAAAACAATACTTTCTTAAAAGTATCTAATATATATATGTTTCATATTTATATTGTATTAAATACAAAATATAGTGTATACAAATCGAATTGCAATTAAAGATTAGCAAATAAATTGTATAAAATATTTGTAATGTTTATTTGAATAATTGAATTACAGTTATTATGATGTTATTTTATTAGAAGTATTATTTTAAAAAAAATAATAATTATAATAAAATTAATTATATAAAATTTAATAATTATATAATAATTAATAAAATTATTTGAATATACTTGAATATACTTGAAAAAAAGTTAGACAACTACTTTTGTCTTGATTTAACTTGTGAAAAAGATATTAATAGGATATTCATATAAATGTGCAATAATTTCATCTCTAATATACGAAGATATATACTAACTTGTAGGAACAATTCATAGAGAATATCTTCAGTTATTTTATCGCTCAGATTTCCACAATAAAGTGTGCGTGCATTGTCGTCCATTTTAAAATATACGCAAAATATTTTTTTTGCACTTTCTTTACCAACGGATCGATCAGGACTATCAAGAATAACTATCAGGAACCTCCTTTTATTTTCACTTTTTGATCTGCATTTATTTGTATATTTGCATTAAAAAAATTACCGTATTTTAAACAATTGTATACCATTAGGTTAGAATCTTAAAAATTATTCTCCCTCTCTCTCTCTCTCTCTCTCTCTCTCTCGCTCTTTCTTTCTCTCTCTCTTTGAATCATGGGGTCTGTTCTTTTCAGCTGCACTGCTGCACTAGTGCAATTAGTCAGAGTGAAAGAAAGTATGTTTGTCTCTTTCTAACTTATTGCACTAGTGCAGCAGTGCAGCTGAAAAGAACAGACCCATTATATATGAATATATATGGGTGGCATCCGATTGACCACTTCGCCAATTAGCTAATTCAAAATAGAACTCTCTGGCCGGTATTCATAGTCCGATCTTATATTTGAGATCGTCTTAAGTTCGAGCTTGAAATGCTATGCAGCTATTTGATTGGTTGAATGAGGTCTTAAGTCAACCTCCAAGCAGACTTAAGACGATCTTAAATATAAGATCGGACTATGAATACCGGCCTCTGATTGGTCAATCATTGCTGGTTACCCTAGGCCACGGTCTTAAGCCAGATCTACATTGGTCGCATCGTAACGTCACAAGTCGTAAGTTGTAGGCAATTGACCAATCATGGTTGATTATTTTTGAAATAATCGACTATGGTTGGTCAATTTGCCTACGACTTAAGCCGAATCTACATTGGTCGTATCTTTGACTATATACCTATTCTAATGGGCAGCCATTTTGCGATCCAAGATCTCTGCGCCTCTAGGTACTAAATGGCCAAAAGAAGAACTAATAATCATAAACGCAATTGATAAACGAATATAACTTTTTATTATAATTTCCAATTATTGCTCTTTAAATAATATTGTTTTTATAAAATTTTTTCTAACATAATTTAAATGTGATTTTCTAGTAAATTCTTTCCCGAAATAAAATTTTATTTTTAAATACAATTCTATAATTGTTTTTATTAATTCATACTTGTGATTGTCCATCAAGTCATTATTCATTAAATGTATATTAAAATTGTTAAAAACTTTGTTAAGATTTATATTTCTTATTACATTTACACTTATTTTTTGAAACGCTTTATATTTTGAGCTCCCAGACAGCACAGGACATCCTATGGACATTCATTTTATGTCCATTTTACGTCCGTACGTCCATGGACATGAAATGACTGTTCATCGTACATCCGATTCGGGACATCCGTTAACGGCCAATATTTGGACGTCCACAAAATGTCCGATCTTGGACATCAAAGTTTCGCGCGAGCACGCAAGGATGTGTTAGTTCGTTCGTTTACCGCTATGCGACGTGCGATGCGCTATCTTTCTCGTATTTAAGTTTTAGTTATAAGAATTATATAAAGTTTGCAAAGAGTAACAAATAAGATTAAAAATATACTGTTCAATTTAATTTGTGATCTCAATACAAGAGTTTCAGATATTAAATTGATTTTATAAGTCGTACAAGTAAATGTCCGGCAAATAAACGAAAATAATCCGGTACTTATTTAAACTTGCTTGTTGCACTTTACATTTTAAATTACCTATTTAAAATGTAGAGTGCAATAAGCAAGTATAAATATAAATAAAATTTTTACATGAATTTTATGTAAAGTTTTATATGAAATAGATAAATTATACTATTTTATTATATTATTTAATTTTGTTGGGCCAAAGAATTTTTTATGTTTTAAATGTTATGAAGGATACATAATGCTATTTATTTATGTATAATAAAGAACAATTTTTTATATATGATTAAATTAGGTCAAAATCCATACATAATTATATCTACACAATTATACATAATTAAATATAAATTTTTTTCTGAGTTTATGAATTTTTGATATTTATTCCAATAATAATTTGAAAGAGTAAGACACTGAAAATGATGTCCATTTTAAGTCCTTTTTTGGATTGTTTTTTGGACATCCGAAGTAGTGAATAACCGACGTCTTATGGATGTCCAATGGATATCCGTCGGACTTAATTCAGACATCTTATGGACGTCCACATGTCCAAACTCGAATGTCCATTGGACGTCCATAGGAGTTCCATGTGCTATCTGGGCTATTACATCATTTTACGTAACAATAGCGAACCATTTTTTATTTTTTTAAAAGCTTATAATACTTTTTTCACTTTTTTTCACTCACTTCTTCTCTTAATTCACAGTCAGAATCACAGAACTGGTCAGAACTCAGACCATGGCCGGTATTCATAGTCCGATCTTATATTTAAGATCGTCTTATGGTGCGGTCCCATGATACGGAACGTATGCGCAATGCGGAATTGGCGGAACGAAGTTCGTCCAATCACAGACATTCCGTCAATTGCGTTCCGTTGAAATATATTTTCTTATGTCCCATGCGGAGATGGAAAACGGAAACGCAATTGGTGTTGGCCAATCACAAGATTCTTTCCCATAGATTTTTTTGTTGTCTATATCGGAACAGCGTACATTATTGGCTCGCGCAAATTACGCTTCCGTATTTTCCGCTGCATGGGACATAGGAAATACAAATTTATGCGGATCGGATTCACACATATATGTCAAAAAATTCATGAATTTCATATATAACTTTCAAAACTGACAACAACTTAATATTGAATATGGATTCTGAAAAATTGTTTATTATTATTTGTGGATTGTTAAGTAAATTAAAACAAAGTTGGTGTATATTTAAAAAGAATGAATTACGCCGTAAGATTATAAAATTATATTCATTGTATATAATTGTAAAAAAAAATGAAAATATTAAAAAATGACGAAAATATTGGATGCGACCTATATTCAGCTTAGAAAGAAGATTCCAACAAGGAGCAAGTGAGAATCTTGTAAAGGAAATGCTGATCGAAGACACAGAAAAATATATGGATTATTTTAGAATGGCACCTCAATTATTTGATGCATTATTAGCATTAGTTGGACCATTCCTTGTTACACTCTTATTTAAAATATTTTTTAATAATATTTTTACGGATATCTGCTGTTTCGACATTTTTCATCATACACACAATTTCGAAGTTCCGCACAAAATGTGTATAAAATAGAAACTTGCGGATAGAAATCGGCGGAACAGCATAAAACAGGTTAAACCAATCACGAGCGTTCCGCCAATTCCGCATTGCGCATACGTTCCGTATCATGGGACCGCACCATTAAGTCTGCTTGGAGGTTGACTTAAGATCTCATTCAATCAATCAAATAGCTGCGTAGCATTTCAAGCTCGAACTTAAGACGATCTCAAATATAAGATCGGACTATGAATACCAGCCCATATGATTCTTAATTATTAGTTCTTGTTTTGGCCATTTGGTACCTGGAGGCGCTGAGATCTTGGATCGCATTGCTTCAATGGGAAATGTGAGGCATTAGCAGTCCATAGGTATATAGTCAAAGGGTCATATCGTAACGTCGCAAGTCGTAAGTCGTAGGCAAATTGACCAATCATGATTGATTATTTTTGAAATAATTGACTATGGTTGGTCAATTTGCCTACGACTTACGACTTGCGACGTTAAAATATGACCAATGTAGATCCGGCTTTACGACTTGCGACGTTACGATACGACCAATGCAGATCCTGCTTAAAGGCCATTCTACAATGGCCGTAGCATAAGGTTGTAAGGGTACGGCCACATGGACTAATATTTTCCGCGTAATGCGTACCGCGTAACCAATTAGAGGCGTAATTCTGTTGTGTTCCTGTTATGCTATAACAGAAAACACATAGTTGTTTCTAAGAAAAAATATGTAATTTGCAATTAACAATTCCATATTTTTTCTTAAAAACAACTGTATGTTTTCTTTACACCAATTGATTCCTCTCATTATTTTGTACATAAAAGTATGAAGGTAAGATAATCGAAAAATGAATGGTTTACTAGATATTTTATGGTTTATGTAAAATTAAGAAATTATTTCAAGCCTTATAACTCAAAAAGTACTTAATAAAAAGGTACTTAATTATAGTGTTTTGGAAAGCTCTCGAGATAAGCTACAAGAATATGCAATGAAAAATAGGGGGTTCCATTTAAGAAAAAATTGAAGGTAATCTTTATGTGACCTTCAAACGACTATCCAAGGTCAAACCAATGATACCATCTTATGTCCCCCTCGAAGTCACAAAACTTTTGTCTGAAACATTTTTCTTTAAAATGTCGCGTTTACGAAAAAATCGGATGAGACGGGTGGTCTGGGACACCCTGTATATACAGGGTGAGGCATCTAAAACAGGCCACCTGAATAACTCCGTTGGTAAGCCGAATACAGAAAAATTGTTCAGACAAAAGTTGTATGGTTTCAAAGGAGACTATGATGGTGTCATTAGTTTAATCTTGAAGAGCCACTCGAAGGTCACGTGAAGGTCAGCTCCAACTTTTTAAATGGGACACCTTATATGCTTTTGCATATTCTTGTAGCTCATCTCAAGAGCTTCCCAAAACACTACAATTATATTAGTTTTCATTAAATATTTTCCAAGTTATGAGGCTTGAAATCATGTTTTAATTTTACATAAACCGTAAAATATCTTGTAAAATATTCATTTTTCGATTATTTTACCTTAATACTTTTATGTACAAAATAATGAGAAGAATCAATTGGTGTAAAGAAAACACATAATTGCTTCGAACAAAAAAATGTAATTTGCAATTAACAATTACATTTTTTTGTTCGAAGCAATTATGTGTTTTCTTTACACCAATTGATTCTTCTCATTATTTTGTACATAAAAGTATTAAGGTAAAATAATCGAAAAATGAATATTTTACAAGATATTTTACGGTTTATGTAAAATTAAAAAATGATTTCAAGCCTCATAACTTGGAAAGTATTTAATGAAAACTAACATAATTGTAGTGTTTTGGAAAGCTCTTGAGATGAGCTACAAGAATATGCAAAAGCATATAAGGTGTCCCATTTAAAAAGTTGGAGCTGACCTTCACGTGACCTTCGGGTGGCTCTTCAAGATTAAACTAATGACACCATCATATGTCCCCCTTGAAACTATACAACTTTTGTCTGAACAATTTTTTTGTATTCGGCTTACCAACGGAGTTATTCAGGTGGCCTGTTTTAAATGCCTCACCCTGTATATATATATATATATATATATATATATATATATATATATATATATAATATTTTGAATATTTATATGAATAAAATATTTGAAAATTAAGACTCACGATTAAAATATAAACAAATATTAATTAATGCTTTTAAACCCATCAAAAACAACTGTATCTATTGTCAAATGTATCTATTTATGTGATTAATTATTATATATTTGGATATAAAATTATATATTTGTTATATATATATATATATATATATATATATATATATATATACGATCTATAATATTATAGATTATTTTATATTCTTTAATCCGTCAGATAAAGAAATGAGAATTTGTTTCTATCGATTAACACACAAATTAACGAGATAGACGTGAATAATAAACTTCTGTTTTCTTAATAGTAATACCTAACTTCGACATTTCAAAAAATATGTAAATATTATTGAACATATAGAATAAAATTATTTTTCGTTATTACATAAATTCTACGTTACAACAGAAATAATAAAATTTTTATATTACAAACAATTGGTAAACGAATTATTGGTAAACGAATTATTCTCTGCGGGTAATCGATAATTAATTTTGCAATATTAAATTCGGTGACAGATATTTTTTGAAAAGAAACACATATATTAATAATTTGTCAAAATTTTAAATTCATATATTTTTTAAGTAGATTCTTACAATTTATTACAAAAGATATAATCATCAATAAACATATAAGTAACGATATAAATGTAATACATAAATAAATGTAAATTATCTGACACAAGAAATTAAAAAAATAAAATTTTATTTATTAAATGTAAAAAGTCTTGCTAAAAATCGAAAAATGTGCAATAATTAATATTCATAATGTATACTAATTAATACAAAATGCGGAACATTTACAATATGACATTTACATACGTTTGTACGAATCATATATTTTTAAATATATTGTCAAAGTTACTAAATATAGTGTTCGATAAAAACGTTTTAATTACGTTAATATAATATTTGATATTATATAATATTATTAATAAAATATTAAGAAATAAATTATATTAATAGAAATATTATATTGTAATACTGTGTTATATGTAATACTGTGAAAAATTTTTACAGAGAGAGAATTTTTTTTACAGAAATTATTTAATAATAACTAATTATTGTTAAACAACCCTTTAAATGTTATACCTGTAAATTTATGTAATAAGTAGTTAAATATATTGTGTATAATAAATTAATTAAGTTAATTTTATATATACATACATTTATATATATATATATATATATATATATATATATATGTATATATAGAATTTTATTAATTATTGTATATATAGAATTATATTAATTTAGTTATACATATATATTTTTTATAATTAATTTATTATTATTTATATATATTTATATATATTTTTTATAATTAATTTATAATTTATATTAATAATTAATTAATTATTTATACAATTTTTATAATTTCCAAAATTGATGTTAAATTTAAATTTAAAAAAGTAATGATGTTCTTTGTCAAATAAAAATTAAGAATTATTTGATTATTATTATTTACATTTCGAGAAAAATAAAATTGTGCTTTAATAATATTACAAAAATAAATGTGTATAATAAATCAGAAAAAATAAATTACTACTTTGTTTGAGTAATTTGCTTTTATTCTATTGATTTATTAAAATTATTTGAAATATTTTTGTTTATTAAAATTACACAATTATGCAGATCTCAAAATTTACAAAGGTAAAAAGAACGATCTAAACAAAATTATATACTTACATTATTACACAATTATTATACATATTTATCTTACTTTATCTTATTTATTAAAATATAAAAATCATGCATAAGAATATATGCGTTATCTAAATAATTTGAAGTTGAGAATGGGATTTTATAACGCACTTAAGAAATTTTATCAATATATACAGATATGTCACTCTTTGCAATAATGCGCAGAACATCAATGTTAACTTTTCGAATTAAAGTTCAACTTCACGTAGCAACTGTAAAATTAGGAATATATATTACTAATATTGTTAAAATGATAAAATGTGTATAATAAAAACGTGTACACATATATATATGTACACGTTATTTTATTATTTTAACAATATTAGTAATATAGGGGTTGTCGGGCCGTCGTGGCGTGTGGACGTGTGTCGAGCCGCTCCGCCTTTGAATGCATATTGTGGAGTGTAAAGTGAATTCTTTACGTCTAAAACTGGGCGTTGACTGTGTGAATAGTTACTGCGAATACTGTGACATATAAATTGGATGTGTTAAACTCCGTTGAAACGAGAATTATTGAAAATATATTATACGTGCCCTAGAGCGTCGAAACATGACGTGGCCTTTTGCAATTTACTTATAGCTATTCAAGTGAGAGCCGTTCGATAGCGAAAGACAATGGAATAAATTCAAATAAAGACCGTGACGCGATATGCAAATTAACATTCGCGAAAGAAGTGACGTTTGACGTTGGACGAACTCGCGAGCGATGAAAACGTCGCCTTAACATTGACTCTCGGAAAGAGAGAACGTGTCAATAACAATAATATCGTGTCAATAATCGAAGCCGCTGCTTCAAAAATAAACAGTTCATTGGCGTTCACGCAATTTTATAAGAGATTCGAAAAGTTCAGGGAGAAGTTACGTGATCCACTCTTGTAAGAAGAAACGTTAAAGTAATGCAATCCCCAGGACCACAGCAGTCCAGTGAATGCTGAGTAAGAGGACCAGCAGTTGCGGAGTCACAGAAGGGAGAGAGAAAGTGATGAATGCAAAAACGGTTACATTGAGAAGATAGAAAAAGGATCCCTCCTTGGATACGTGGACTTTTTATTTTTATTTTATTTTATTTTTATTTCTATATAAGCGAGGAGAGACAGAGAGTCATTAATGAACAAAACAGGAGAAGGCCCGGAAAGGCAAAAGGAGTCAAAACGAAAAGGGAGGTCGACCCACGCAGAGCATCTTGGAAGACAAAGAGCAACAGTTTCGAATCGATAGTCGATTCGTTTAAGAGGAAGAGGGAAGAAAAGGAAGATAGGATAAAAACAGAGAAGGAACTCCTTGAAAAGTTCCAAAAAACAAGAGCAGTGAGCAGGTCACCCTTAACTAAAAGAATAGAAAAAGCAGCAGAAAGGACGCAAGAGGAGAAGAGTACAGAAAACGAAGAAGGGCTAGACATGGACAAAATAGATAAACTAACAGAAATTATACTAACAATTAAAAATGACACAGAGGAGATAAAAAAAGAAAATAAAATAATAAAACAAGAAATACAAGACTTAAGAGAAGAATGGAAAAAGAAACAAGAGGAATGGGAGAAAGAAAAGGGGATAATAGAAAACAGATTGAAGGAGACCAAAGAAGAACAATTGGAGAAGAAAATGACAAGAATGATACAACTGGAAGAGGAGGCAAGAAAGAGAAAAGAAAGAAGGAACAATATCACTTTGAAAGGAGAGGATTTATCAAAAGAAGGTTCACCCAAGAGAACGATAGAACAGATGAGACACGAACGGCAAGTAGAAGCGGACGTGAAGGACGCATACTGGATAAGAAGAGAGCAGCGAGGAGGAATGCTTATAGCGAAACTAAAAAGCTGGCAGCAGAAAAAAGAAATACTGGCAAAGAAAAGTAAGTTGAAAGGTAAGAAACTGTACATTGACAATGACTTAACAAAAAAGGAAAGAGATGTGCAAAAAGAGATAGCAGAAATTGTGAAATTGAAGAGAGAACGAGGAGACCGAAAGATAGGCTACAAGAAAATAATGGTCAATAAAAGGACTTTTATATGGAAGAAAGGGGAAGGACTGAGAGAGTTTTTTCAGAATAGGCAAAGTCCTGCAAACCCAGTAAAACGGCCCAGTATAATATAAATAAATGCAAAGTCGGCAAGGAATTACAAAAAGAGATTAAGGCAATGTTCTGGAACACGGCAGAAATCGCAAAAAAAGACGAAGAGTTTTGGGACTATGTACGACATAATTAACTTCACGGAGACGTGGATAGAAGAGAAAGGATGGAAAAAAATGGAAGTCCTGATGCCAAAAGAATACAACTGAGTAATACAGTACGCAGCAAGAGACAAGAAGAGGGGCAAAGGAGTAGGAGGTATGATAACAGGAGTGAAGAAAAACATCAGGATGGAAGTACAAAAAGAAACACAGGGAATAATTAGTTACAGTATAGAAATCAACGGAGAAAAATGGAAAATTATCTCAATTTACAATAGAAAAGGAAAGAAGAAGACACTAGAGGAACTGGAAGAGATAATCGAAGGTGATGGATGGAAGAAAATGATAGTGGGAGGAGATTTTAACGCTAGAACAACAGAGAAAGGAGAACTAGTATGGGATAGAGAAGGAAGTAGGAGGTATTCGAAGGATAAAATAATGAATAAACAAGAAATTGACCTATTGGAAAAAATAGAGAAGCTGGGACTAGGTTTACTAAATGGAAATAAGGAAGGCGACGACCAGGGAGAATGGACATTCACAGGAGCAAAAGGAAGTTCAGTAATAGACTACGCAATTTGTATCGCGGAAACAAAGGGGAAGAAATAAAAAGTTTCAAGATAGGAGAAAGGACTGAATCAGACCACCAATCGTTAGAGATAAAACTGAAGGCGACAACAGAGGAGACAAGAAATAGAGAAGAAGTAAAAGAGATAGAGATAGAAGATTGGACAGAAGAGGGAATAAAAATATATCAAGAAAATCTCAAGAAAAGGAAAGCAGAAAAAGAAGAAATCCAAGAAGAATGGGATGAACTAGCAGAAGAAATCAGAAAAGCAATAAACAAAAAGAAGGTCAAGAACAAAACGCAAAATGTAGGAAAGAAACCTTGGTGGGACAAGGACTGCAGAAACAGCAAAACGAAACTGAACCGATCCTTCAGACAAATGAGAAAAGGAAACATAGAGAGAACAGAATTTATAGAAGAAAAACAAAGACACAACAAGCTCTGTGAAACAAAGAAGAAAGAAGAGAGAGAAAGAGAGCAGACCAAAATCGCAGAGATACAAAATGAAACAGAAATATGGAGATATATAAAGAAGGAGAGAGGTCGACGAGAAAAGTCAGATGACAACATTGAGGAACAACAATGGAAAAGACACTTCATGGAACTATTGGAGAGAAGTGACGAGAGGAAATAACGACACACGAAACAAGCAAGAAGCAGGAGGTAACCAAGGAGTGCCACGAGAAGAAGAAACAAAGGAGAAGCGAGAGGGAATTACAGAGGAAGAGATGAGAAACGCGATAAGAAGACTCAAGAAAAAGAAAGCAACAGGTGAAGATAGACTCAAAAACGAAGTGTGGATAAACGCAGACAGGGAAACAAAAGAAAAATTGAGGAAAATAATGGGAAAAATATGGAACGGAGAGAAACTGCCAAGAGGATGGAAAGTAGGCATAATATACCCAATACATAAAAAAGGAGACAGGAAAGAAGTGAAAAACTACAGAGAGGTAACATTACTAGACACGGCATACGATGATTCTGGAAGAAAAACTGAGGAAGGAAGTTGAGAGACTGAAGCTGCTCCCAGAAACGCAAGCAGGTTTCAGAAAAAGGGAAAGTTGCATAGACAACATATTTGCACTGAAAATAACAGCGGAAAAAAACGACAACGAAAAAGAAGGGAAAACTCTACGTCTTCTTTGCAGACCTGAAGGCAGCGTTCGATAAGGTAAACAGAAAGAAGCTATGGAAGGTTCTGGAAGAACGCGGTATAAATAGGAAATTAATCAACAGAATAAAAGATATTTATGAAGAAACAATCAACAGGATAATCGTAGGAGACAAATGTACAGAGGAGTTCTGGACAGAGGGAAGTCTGAGGCAAGGATGCCCATTGAGCCCACTCCTGTTCATAACATTTATTGCGGATTGGAGGACTTTATAAAGAAAAGACAGAACAGAGGTGCAAGACTGGAAAGAAGGAGAATATACACTTTGGCGTACGCGGACGACCTAGCGATGATGGCGGAGACGGAAAGAGAAATGAAGAAAATGCTGAAAAGCCTAGAAAGATATTTAGAAGAAAAGGAACTGACTCTAAATGCAGATAAATCCAAAATGTTGGTTTTTTGTAAGAAAGAGAGAATTAAGCAGGAAAGGAACTGGAAATGGAAGGACAGCAAGATAGAAGAAGTCAGGGTGTTCAAATATCTGGGATTTACATTTAAGAAATGCAACACCGAAGAAGCACATGTAAAAGACATAGTAAGAAAAGCAGCAGCAGCCATGGCACAGATTTAGGGGATAGGCGAAAGGAAATTTGGAGGAGACTTCGACAGGAGAATGATGATGTTTAATGTCATGGTCAAAAGCATACTCTTATACGGAGTCGAAATATGGGGATGGAAAGAATGGAAGGAGATTGAAGCACTTCAAGAGAGATACATAAGATGGATATTAGACTTAGACAGATGCACGCCAGGCTACATAATTAGAGAAGAAACAAAGATAGAACAAATCAGTATAGAAGCCGGAGGAAGAGCGCTAAAATACCAAGAAAAAATAAAAGAAATGACTGATAACGAAATACTGAGAGAATGCAGAAGGGAAATTAGCGATATGGGAGGGTACACAATGGGCAGAAGGATGCAGATGTTTTACAAGGAGGGCGGATTAAACCAGTGGATGAAAAAAGCAAGAGAGGAACAAGAAGAAAACACGATAGAAGAATGGACAACCAACTACAAAAAGAAAAAATTGGAAGAGAGAGAAAGGAAGATGGAGAGATCGAAATCAACGAAAGAATACAACAGATGGAAAACAAGTGAAAGAGCGAAATATTTAGAGTGGAAAGGAAAAGGCACAAAGTTGAAAACAAACGCAAGATTCAGATTCGGAAACAAATGGAAAGGTAATAGATACTGGGAGAAGGAAGGCAAAAAAATGTGCAGGCTGTGTGAGAGAGGAGAGGAAGCATGGCACCATATATTAAGAGATTGCCCGGAATCAAGATCAGCCAATCCGAGCGAAGAATTTATAATGGCAGAAGACGGAAAAGGAATAGAATGGATGCTGAAGTTGTGCAATAAAAGGAAAGAGAGAGAAAAACTGAGTCAAGAAATAAGTGTATAAATTAATATAGAAAAGGTGTAGATGTAAAACACGATGTAAGCAAAACACAGAACATGTATCCCTAAAAGGGAATTATCCTAAATAAAAAAAAAATTAGTAATATATATTTCTAATTTTATATATATATATATATATATATATATATATATAAAATTAATAATGATAAAAAACGAGACAAATTTAGAAACATATTCTGTTTATCATATGGATGAAAATAAAAGGAAATCACATTAACATAGATTTAAAAACGCTGTCTTTCCAAACTATAACAATTTGTATATAAAATAAATTACTAAAAATAATATTTTTCCGCTTATCCATTTACATCTATCGATTTAAAGCCTTTAAATTTTTATTTATAAGGCTCAATCTCAAAGTTTTTGCTAATGTTCTTATTGCTATTTGGATAGCTTTAGTATTATTACTTTGTGTCACAAAATTCGAAATAAATACTTTAGGAATTTTTAAATATCTTCGGTGGAATTGTAAAATGTTGATAGTATATGAATGAATGTTTGCCGAAGAAAATTTTCAGCATCATTTTTAACGAAATATTTATTAATGTTATTAACACCAAATTCTATCACAAAACATTTTAAGAAAGAAAATGTTTCTAGATTTACGTTTCATAATTATATAAATTTAAATTTGTGTACGCCATGTTAGAATATACTTTTATATTTCAATCATTTATTTCTAAAACATTATACGTTCTTAATGATATTCATATTTGTTTGGTTACATTATTCTTATTTTTATGTCTTAAAAAATAGTGTATAGATTTAAGATTATCTTTTCTTTATAGTATAGATTTAAGATTACTTTTCCGTTTATAATTTACTTATCATTGGTCTACTTTACTTACGTATTATACTGAAGTCTCTCGTCCAATCCAAGTAAAACTATTGTCTCGATAATGGGCAGCTTCATTTTGATTGCGGCGAAACAACCAGTTATTCAAGTTATTTAGGTAGTAATATAGTGTAGTTTTCCTCCTACATTTGTAATCAAAATTCAATATTATACAGTTAAAAAAATGTTTTTAATAAAATGAAAATTTATAATAAATTAATCAATACTTGTAACGTATCAATTAATAATTATTGCAATAAAATTGTTGTAATCATATACTGACTGACTACTGACTACTGACTACTGATTGTTGTAATCATATACTGACTGACAATAAAATAATTATAAAATTAGTGATATTTATCGGAATCTTATTCATAACTTTTATAATAAAATAGCACAGCATTTTTCGAAAAACTTAAATATTGATTTTAATATTATACTTATATTGATAATATCATACTTATAATGATTTTAATATCTATATAATTATTAAATGACAATTGTATCTTATATTTGTATCAATGTTATGAATTTAAATCAAAATTTTCTTTTCTTATACTGCATTAATATATACATATGTATGTAACACTCATCCATGTTTCTTTCCCTTCCTACACACACATATATTACACAATCATCCATACATGTGTATACACAGAGAAGCATACACCTAATAATACATTTATTACAATTCCATTAATTTAATTAAGTATAAAAATAAAATTTACCAGCAGAAATATCCTAAAAGTAAGGAGCATATGACACAATTTGTATACATCCATACTTTTAAAAACACAACCAAAAAATTAATTAGTACTTCTTCTTCCACATCATCCTCATTATGAGTCGATATGTTATTTGTTTCATTGAAATTAGTATATTTATTATTATAAGTTAGGTTATGTATACTGACTAAAAAATAAATCATATTATTAATTTAATTTATAAATTGAGATGACTCTTGTTATTAATTTATCAACATTGTTTTTTCCATTTCACGAAGGAATACAAATTTAATAATATTATTAATAAAACAAAATTCATAATTGGTACATTAATTTTCTTACAAAAAATAACATAAAGTTATTATATATAATCATTATTAATTTAGCTTATTAACGTATGTATATAACGTATGTATATATATATATATATATATATATATATATATATAGTATATACATTATTAGTAAAAGTGTATCCATGTGTGCAATAAGCTTGTATTATGCATGCTCGTGCACGTTACTTTTACTCTATATAGATTTAGAATATTATATTTTTCTAGAGCTATTCTTTAATAAATTGTTTTATATTCTTTATACATATATTTATATTCTTTATACTTTTGGATAAATATTGAAAGAAAAAGAGAAAGAAAATGTAAAAATCTCACAATCATTAAGTTCTATCATTTAACTAAGTGCTTTCGATTATAAGTATGACCTGAATAAAATCTAATATTATACAAATTATTATAGAAGTTATTATACAAATGATTATCTTACTTGGTATGCATGAGATAAAGATAATAATAATTATTAGTGAGAATATTGAGCTTAAAAATTTCCTTATGATTTCATTTATTCTAGCAACAGGCATGACGGATACGCGTTTAGTGCTTTTCTTCTTAAATTTTAATAATAATTGAGATTGCAATCTTATCGGACCTTTCTTACTCGGTTTTCCGATTCCGTTAGTAATATTACGATGCTATATCAATTCTAGAAAATAAAATTATTTAATATATATATTTTGCTTGTCGGAAAACACAGATTTGAAACAAAACAGAAAATAAATTTTTTAAAAGAGACATTAAAAGATATATTATATATTAATTTTTTTCCATTTTATCGTAAAGGAGACTTTTACGATAAAATGGAAAAAAAATTAATATATAATATATTTTGAATATATAAAAATATAATATATTTATATTTATATAATATATTTATATGATATATTTATATGATATATAATATATTTATATTTATATAATACATTTATTAATATATAAAAATAATAAAAAATAGTTGTGATTACAAATATTTAAAAAAATGCAATTTAGTTTTAATTACTTAAAATATGTTTATTAATATTTCTATCATAAATATTTTGGACTCAAAATATAAATAAGTTTAAAATATTTATAATCAGATAGTGTAATAATAGTGTTAAAATATATAAAAAACGAGTCTGTATTGCCTGTATCTCTTGAGAATTTTCATTAAATTGAGGTTACATAATGGTTCGATCAAATTTGATACAGTGAAATTTGTAATAGTTTGAATGAATTGAACGGTACAACAAATTATAACGATCACATGGTAATTTTATTCTAATAATACTTTACAATAAAAATAGTGTAAAAAATGGTATATATATTTCTTAATATTTCTTGAATCATATAAATTCCGTTTACTTTAAAAAAATTATATAAATCATTAACAATAAAAAAATTAAATTTAAATTGTGTTATAACTTCTTAATGTATCTTAATAATAATTGAATAAATTTCAAAAATTAATGATTGTATCAATTGTAAATTATTTCTTTTTTATAAGAAGTACAATTGAATCAAACGGATTCTATAATCATAATCGTCAGCGTGCGAGAAACATTATCATGACAAATAAACTGCTGTTTCTAAGGTTGATCATATCATTTTGTTAGTATAAGCCAGAATTTAGGTCTCTCGGCAACTGCTCTCCCGTTCTAGTAGTTATTGATTTTAGTTTTGAAAAGAAATTACGTGCGCAAAAGTTCGAGAATTACATTCTCTTTATGTAATCCTTATGTTGATCTTAATAATTAAAAGAAAAAAATAAAATATAAAATTGTATTGTTCAAATAACGAATTCTGCAAATCAAGTTATAAAAATATATATGAGCCATCCACGGGCTAAAAATTAACTCCATTTGTTGATTTTTTTTAAATTTTAGTGCCGAAGCACTTAATTGATCATGCAATGCCAGATTAACATGATGATTCTCATAGTATGTAAAGCAAGTAATAGAGATATAAGAACTTGTTTGCTTCAATCAAAATGTTTCAAATCGCAGAAGGGCAAAATTCTATAACTGAAGGACATATACTAATGTAAAAATAAAATTAGATTACAGTTTTGCACACGTACACAACTATAAATTCATAATATTCAACCATCGATTCTGTAATTTCCACTGATTGCATAACCGAGACATTCTCAGTTTCATGAATTTTCTGATGATTAATTATATCTAATATATATATATATATATATATATATATATATATATATATATATATATATATATATATATCATCTCACATGTATCCAGAGAATCTTTAAGTTTATATTATATTCTGTTGATTAGAATATAATCTATAATAATAGGATTTATATAGATTACAACGGCGTACATCAGCACATATTAAATTTTAAATTACAATGGAAATTGTTAGAGAATTTGATCAAATCTTATTGGATTTTTAATCTATTCATTTGCTTATTGAATGCACTTGATGCGTATTTTACATACATACTTTACATTTATTTTCGCGCGAACATTTTTCATAAATTTCAGAATCACGAAAATAATTTAGCAATCTTAATTATCAACTGAATTCATATTAAGAAATATTTCTCAAATGAAAGAATTCGAAATATCGACTCGAGAATGAATAACTAGAGGTACATGATCACGTTCGTGTATTAAACTACATATTGAACTATAATATCTCTTTGATCTCTCTCGGAGAACTACACGATGAGAAAATTCTCGGCGCACAATTTCATGTCAGAAAAGACATGCCTCCTTCGAGGATGCGTATCAAATATCTGATATCTCCTCCTTAAGGGGTTATACCTAATCATGAAATCGAGAAAAACGTATTTTTGGGGAATTTAAAAAAAACTTTTAGGTATTTTTATTTCATCAATTCTTTATCATAATATATATATATCTATCAAAGAAGTTTTCATAATTTTTTCAGTTAAAAATATCGAAAAATGTAGGCACAGTAGCTATTTTCCAGAGACATCTTTTTTCGGAAGCGCTTGGCGGTGAGCAAGATTACTCGGAGCTAGATCATCTGAAATAAAAAATTCAAAAGGATTTAGCTTTCGTATGAATTGATCTAGTTCGTGAACGAAGGGATTTTAATTTTGATAAAACCTTTTTTTTATTAATAAAAGAACGAAAAGTTTTAACACAAAAAATTCGTTGCATAAACGTCTGTCACATTATCAAAAATCAATTTTTTGTAAAATTTTCGTTCACGAACTAGATCAATTCATACGAAAGTTAAATTCTTTTGAATTTTTTATTTCAGATGATCCAGCTCGAGTAATCTTGCTCACCGCCAAGCGCCTCCGAAAAAAGATGTCTCTGGAAAATAACTACTGTGTCTACATTTCTCGATAATTTTAATTGAAAAAATTATGAAAACTTCTTTGATAGATATACATTATGATAAAGAATTGCTGAAATAAAAATACCTAACAGTTTTTTTTTAATTTCCCAAAAATACGTTTTTTTCGATTTGCTAACTAGGTATAACCTGTTAACGATTATTTATGAATAATACCTTAACGTAGAGCTCCCTCGTAGTTATCACGATCGGTCTAAGCAGCTGCAGTTAATGCTGGGATAGAAAAAGTCACTGTACAAGACGACGCAGCAAAGTGACGATGACGATGAAAACAAAGTGTCTATGGCTTTGGTCACATGCGTTTAAAAGTTGAAAGCGTTATGAATAATGTGTCGACTTCGTCGAGTTGTACACATTATCATACCTGGTCATCAAAGTCACGACATGTTTGTTTTGCTTTCCTCTTTCTCTCCTTCTCTCGAATCCTCTTCCGACTCGCTTCGTTTCTCGGGGATCCGCGGGAGAATTAAAAATGTTTTCATGTTATATGCAAATTATTACGAGAACTTTAATGATTTTTTATACATAATAAAAGATCATTTTTATTACTTTTAACATAAGAAGTATGAGAAATAATGGAATAAGAACTATTATCAATGGCTTTATTTTCACTTTAGCAACAAATAATTATGTCACATCGAGTCAAGGTGTATGTAATTGTGTAAATATATATTCTGTCCATCTTATTTTTCAAAAGAAAACATTCTTCTTTCCTGTTTTTATATTTTTTCTTCAGATATCAATATGTTTGTAATGCATAAAACCAATAACAGTCCAACGAAATAACAAATATTGTTAGGATTATTTGTAAAATATTGTTTGAACTATTCGTAAAATGGTTACAAAATACACAATCACATGTACATATATTTAAAATTAAAATATAGTAATATATCTTTTCGGTTTCTTTCGGTCGCCTTTGTATATCTGTGTTTCTTATTCTTATATTCTTTCGACACCAGATTTGATTTTACATAGTAATTCTTTCTCTCTTTTTCTCTCATATCAAAATAAACAATCTATACCAACGTAATATTATATCTTTCCATTCTTTTTTCTATTTCTCGCACGCATACATTTCCTTTTTATACATTAATTACATCTCCAACAAGTTTTCAACTTTAAAATATTTATAAAATTTATAAGGATTCGCAATATACAAAATAATAAAGTTCCGGTATATATAAATCTAAGATTTTGTATTCCATCGTAATTATCGTTATCATATATTTGTTAAATTATTTTCTTGGAATCATTGGAAATTATTCCATACTCGGAGAAAATGCAATATTTTTTAAAACTTCGTAATTTTATATTTTGTTGTAAAGAGACAAATATATTTTTTTGTATATCACAAAAAATAGTGGTTCGGAAGGAGAATAGCATCTTTATAAATTTATTTATATTTATCCTCTAACTTAAAAATGTAATCAACAATAAATTTAAACAAATTAGAAAATTTATTATAGAAATTTTAAGATGGAACTAAAAATGGAAATAAAATAATAAATATAATACATATCATTTGTAAATATAGTACAACAGATAAAATTATGGTTTCTTCAAAGTTCACTTTAATATTGAAATTCATAATGAAATGTCCGAAACAAAATCTTTATAGGAATTTTATACTGGTAGTTTTCTTTTTTAGTTTTCAATATATAACGTTGCACAGTAATAATAATAAAAAATCGATCTTTCTCATCAAGACCGATTCACATTTATCTATACAACGGAATTGACTTTAAACGCGAGCGCTATTTGTGATGATGACATGTCGCAAAATCTACGAATTAGAAAAGAAATACATATAAAATGTAATATATATATATATATATATATATATATATATATATATATATATGATGAACTTTTATATGAATAAGGATTGAGCTAAGCCAGTTTCCATTATCCGCAGGAATAACAATTTGAATAACAATTTTAACTAATGACTGGTGTAGAAGGATAAATCTTTATCACGATTAAACTTGTTTTGTTGTATTATACCTTTTTGGCCAAATGAAGCACTTCGAGTACTTTGATGTCTTCCAATTGCATGGATTAAATGAAAATTGTACAGGATAAAAATTGTACAGGATAAAAATACTTTAAATCCTTTAACAGCTGAATATAAAAAATGCAAATTTATTATATGATGCGAAAAATATTTTTGCTATTCTAAGCTTTTATAATTTATTCATATTTTAGAGAGTGATAAATACACACCGTATATATTATACAAAATTCTCCTTAAGAAAAAATATGTAATTGTTAATTGATTTTTCTTTTTCTTCAAAACTTTAATCGATTTAATTTTTCTTCAAAAGAACTGTTTTCTTTACACCAATTGATTTCTCTTATTATTTTATACATAAAAATATTAAGGTAAGATAATCGAAAAATGAATATTTTACAAGATATTTTACGGTTTATGTAAAATTAAAAAATGATTTTAAGCCTCCTAACGCGGAAAGTATTTAATGAAAACTAACTTAATTATAGTGTTTTGAAAAGCTCTCGAGATAAGCCACAAGAATATGCAAAAGCATATACGGTGTCCCATTTAAAAAATTGAAGGTGAATTTCACGTGACCTTCAGGTGATTCTTTAAGGTCAAACTAATGGCACCATCTTATGTCTCCCTGGAAACCATACAACTTTTATCTGAAACATTTTTGCTAAAAATGCTTCGTTGAAAAATTATCGACGTGCATTTTTTAAAATGGACCATCTTATGTACTATATGTATATGCTATTACTAAATATGCATTAACAATTTAAGATAGATATAAGGATAAAATTTAGTATTTTTGCGACTTAGTATACTATTTCAATTTTTAATTTTAGAGTGAGAGTGAGAGATAAATAAATAATCATGCCTTTTTATTTGAATGAAGTTGTTATTAATATATATAGGCTAGTACAATATAATGAAATTACTTATTAATACAATATAATAAATGTGTTAGCAGTACTTATAAGTCCCAACATTATTTATAACAAAGATTAATTAAATGTTCGTATCGAATCAGTATTTATCGAAAATATAGTGATATTAATTTGGCATTAATGAATTCAAAGTTCGGTTTGTTCTTTATAAACATTGATAATTAGCGGAGGTCGAGAAAGAAAATGTTTTTTGTTTTTAATTTTAAAACTCTTCTTCTTCAGTCAAAATCGACCAACTCAAAACACATACGATGAATGTTTCTGAAAAATCTCTGATATAAAGAAATTATTAGAATAGTGAAGAAGCTTAACGCTTTTTTCTTATATTTTTTTCTTTGTCATGAAGAAACATTGCCTAATAACAAATACAACATCAAAATAAACGCAGATTATTCCGTTTATTGCTCGTAATATTAGAACAATGTGATATAAAATAGAAATAATTATTTCCTTGAACATTAGAAGCAATTAATTTTTATTTCACTCATCAAAACAAAAACGCTCATTATATTATTTTTATATTGCGTTTATCATTGTAATCACCATAATAAAAAAATAAAAATTCAGACTTTGTAATCAGTTGAATATTCCGGAATTAGAAATGATATTGGATATCACCGCAGTATATTAAAGCTAGAGAAGTGTCGTTCTAGGAATGATCTATCTATATACAGAGTAACTATAAGATTAAACCTATACCAGTAAGATTAAAATTCCGTTCATTACTAATTTTTCGAGCATGTGGAAAATGTTAATATGACATCCTCGTATTCTGATGTTACTTATGAATCCTGATTCTGGATTCTACAATATACATGCAGAATCAGATATGTTGAAAAGCTCGGAAATTTTACTTATTTCTGTATGTTTCATTATCTAACATTACGTCGATCTAAAAGAGATTGCATACAAGAAAAAAACAGGTAATCACTTCAATAGCCTTTTTTAAGCATTGGAATGAAATTTAATAATAATTGTTATTTGATTAATAAATGTAGCGACACTATGGAATTTTTGATATTTTTATTTTAAAATCTTGTATTAATTTTTGTTTACTCTCTAATAAATCTTCGAACTTTGAAATATAATTAGGATCAATAATGTTAATTCCCTGCACTCTACTATAAAAATTTTTTCTAACTAAATGCTTATTAATCTACTGAAATAAACTTTGTATTAAAAAATTCGATAAATTGAGTAAACACATTCTCAAAAAAGGAAGTATTTTATATTTTTGCAATCATTTTATATATTATTATTTTGTTTTCATGAGCTAGAAGGAAATAATGAACAATTGAAAATTACCGACAATTTTGCTGACATGTTATTGTTGCCGCGATTACGTGAAAAATCCAAGTATGTACATTGCAACACTGTTGGGATGAATTCGAAAACCTATTTGAAGAAGAGTAGCGCTCAATTGTTCAAGTTAGAATAAAGGAAGCAAATATTTCTCTGTTCTGGATCAATGAAACGTTATTCTATTCGTCGAAAAGATATTTAAAACAATCTTGAAAAATCGTCTGCGAAAATGATCGAAGTGATCGAAGTGAAATGACCGAAGTATGATCGATGAGAATATGTAATTCAAATTTGAAAGAAGTAAATTTTTTCAAAACATATGTATTTAAAAGAAAGGCTATAAATCGATTAATTATAATATTTCATTCAATGTTAGGTTTATATAACTGGCGTATTTCTTTAATAACTGTATATTATCATGATGATGAATGGCATCCTCAATCTCTCTATTGTAATCAATTAATTTAGAATTAACTCTATGTGAAAGAAAAATCTTCAGCCATACAATGAAACGATCGAAACCGATATATTGACTTGCGTAAAAATTAATCGCACAAACGTAAAATATTTTAAATGATACAATACAGGCACCTGTCTCTTATTTATTTTATACTAAATTCTGGAAAAGAGATAATTCTTTATAAAAAAGATGTTTTTCATAACTTTATGTAACACATAAAAAATAAAAAAAATAAAATATATATATATATATATATATAATACATATATATATATATATATATATATATATATATATATATAGAAAGAGAGAGGCGGGAGGAGAGAGAAAGAGACAGAAAGAAAGAAAGGGGAAATACAACTCCTTATTTGATATTTTTCGCAAATGCTTCTCTAGATAAATTATTTTTATAAATAAAAGTACTATTTCATGAAAACGAAATACAAGGACTAAACAAGTACGTATATTGACTTCTATCGATGAGTAACAAACTCCTAATGTTATGTATAAACAAGGTGATATTTACATGACATTCGTACCTTGCTATTAGGTAAATATTTACTATTAGGTAAATATAAGATGCCGACAACGCCGTCAGTCTATGGTAGTTT